ATTTTCACTATTGAGCGTTTCCAAGAACATTGCCATATAATCATGAAAATGAAAGTTTCTACGAGCTCATTTCCTAGTTTAACTGCAGGCTTCTGCTTTCCTTCTACAAGAACTGTTCATCTTTTGCATAAAATGTTAGTTTTTTTTTCCATATTCAAGGTTTTTTAGGCTTAAAAGGGAAGCGGTTCCTAATGTGCTGATCTTGTTTTCTTGCATTAAATGTGTCCTCCGCTATGCAGGCGTGTGGAGCGCATGACAGCCGTAGTTTAAAGGCAAAACAGGCGGCGCTTTGAATTGTTTTTGACTTCATCATCTGCAGAGCTTTCTCACATCTTTGACCTGAACATCAGAGGCATTGCTGAGGCAATCTTTCACTGCATGGACAGGTTAGTGCTCTTGGGTTTTGTAATAAAACAATCCTCCCACCGTCACCTCAGACTCTCCCCTTCTCCAATTCTTATTCTGTCTCTCTGGAGTTCTGTAATGAAACGAATGTCTCTTCAGGATGTGGGTCAGTCCGCCTCTATTCCCTTCACAGCCCTCCGCCGTTCTCTGCAGCCTGGCTGAGATGGACTGCTCCATCACTGTCACCAGGTGCACAGATTGGACGCCAAGGCTGCTAATAAAGACGAGGAGCACGTTTCACAGCCTTCTAAGTGCTGTTGCCCTACCTGACTTATGATGGATGCGTGTTTGCTCTGCTGTGTCTGCAGGTGTGTCACTGTAAATCTGAATCCGTGTTAAGCTAACATAAACATAACCTCTTACTGTTAAAGTTGGTTTTCATCTCAACAAGTTGCTTTACTGAAACACGTTGGGATCAAATTCAATTTAGACTTAGACAAACTTTATTGTCATTTTGTACACAGAGGGCCGGATCTATCAAAGGTTTGTTTTACTGCCATATTTTTTGGTTTACATGTTTAATTTTGTATTATGCAATTTTTTTGTTATTATGAGTCTTATTTTGAAAGGCTTCTTTAGGAAGTGGAATCTAGCATATTCGCTGAAAAACTAGAAGAAAAGGATGCACACAGCATGAAGGCATGACATTTACAAGAAGTTTTACTAAGAAATTTAAG